CTATGTCTCCTCTAAAAGCATGCAAAACAAATCAGAAATTAAGTGAAAACGGGTTGTATCGTGAATGCTGTGCTCCGCCTTTCAGGAAAGAGGCGGAGGGGGTCAGACTTGGCTCAGTAATATATCCGGTAAGCAGGGACAGTAACGCTGACTCCCAAACAGTTTACCTAGGTTAGTCGGGTTCAGTCTTGTGAGAATTAGAAAGCGGGAGAGACAAAGAGGAAAAGATGGTATCGTCTCTTGTTCTGGGGTGCCGAATGACAAATGGCAGGCAGTGGGGGAGTGAAACAGGGATATTACCAGGTGAATTGAACAGCCCTCCCGCCCCGCCCCGTCCCGTCCCGCACCCACCGCCCACCGTCAACACGACCAGTTTTTACGGCGCTCACCCTGAACTGAAATATTACATGAGGACAGCCACGAAGCCACCGAACAGAGATGCACATGAGAAAGGGACAACAAGCACTTTTAAAATTAGTCGAAAGGTACACTTACATAAAGCAAATATGTACGGCTCTTTTTTTCTACAAGTTGTTATAAGCAGGAGAAAACAGCAGTTGGAGAGAAGACCATACAAATTCAAAGCATCGCCTCCTTATTTACAAATTTCTCACCACGTTGGCCATTTCAGTGCTTTATAAAAATACTATTCACATTTGTTGTTGAAGTGTGTTAGATAAATTTTGGAGGAAACCCCAAAGATTCTGTACATTTATACTGATTTGATAATTTAAAACACAGAAAATGAATGACGTCCGCTCGTAGGCCATGATTTGTGCAATTAAGATGCCGACAACTAAACATTGCAGTAGAATGACAAAATAACGTACAGTAACCAACACATTAGTGGAAAAAAAAAGAAAAACAAGTCTTTTTCCTTGAAGAAAAACATCCTTGATAATATGGAAAAAATAAAAGCAAAAAGTCAATATTAAAAATGATATATATATATATATATAGGGTACTATACACAAAAAATCCCATGAAAGATTTCAGAAATAAGGATTCCCAGTTTGTGCTACTGAATTCAGTAAAAATATCTGGTTATTTCCTTCCACGCCGTCCAGAAATCTTAATATAATACTGTCAATGAAGAGATACAAAGGTGGAAGGGCAGTAAAACACTCACTTTGGGTACCATGCAAGGTGATATTGTACTATACATTAGACTTGGTAGCTGAGGATGAAATGTTGAAGGACTCGCTTCACCTTGGCTCGGAGGGAACAGTAAAAAGTAGAAATAAAAAAAGCGATCAGTCTTAAACACCAGTTGCCATGGCGTGCTCTTGAGCTGCCATAAGCCACAGGAGTGTTCAGGGCTGAGACAAATAGCAGCAGGTAACACAGCCCAACTCCAAGGCAAAATATGTTTGAAACAAGGAATGAGATACTCAGCCGAGAGGAAAAATGATTTCTTCTCCAAATGGAAAACAACTTTAAACACCGAGGCCTTGGGATGACAAAAACAACACTTGACAAACTTGGATCTTCAGGTACATTTTTTTTTTTTCTCCAACCTTTCTGGCGATGAGCTCTTGATGAGAGTCGATTAAAAGCGAAGGGCTGCTGAGAGTCTCGGAATACTCTGAAGTCCTCTCGAGAACCGTTCGTCTCATCGGTGTTTAAGCCTTTTCTTGATTCAAACACATATGTCGCCTGGGTGTGCAGTATAATTTAGGGCAAACAAGAGAGAAACCAAGGCGTGTGTTTTTCTTTTTCCCACCATCGTCCTTTCTTTTCTTTTTTTTCTTTCTTTTTTTTCTTGAAACCCAGATTTGGCAGTCGTTTCCATCGCTCAGTATAAACAAGCTCAAACACACTATAAATATTTCACATTGATATTAAATGCTGTCTCTATTTCACTGAATTAGAGCTCAAAAGGGGACTATAAAATACTCCTTCATCAAATAATCATGATATCATCAAAGCAGCATTATAAATACTGCTTGAAGCAAACAAAAAGCATGGAAACAAGGACATTCTTGAAGCTGGTCAGTACCACCTAAAATTTGTTTTCTTCGTGAGCTCATGGCAGCAGTACGTTCCCAAAAGCTTTTTGCTTTCTGAAGTGGTAAACGACCAGATAAACAAGTTGAATATTTCAGCAACGAAGGGTGGAACTCCTTTCTTTCTACCCGCAAGTTTGATCAAAGTGCTCCATGGGGAGAACAAGAATATACAGCTATGCATGTGCATACACTCAGACAAACACTTTCACACACATGAAAATACACAAAAAATAAATATCCTACTGAGGAAAACAGCTCGGACGGGGCTGTTGAAGCAGTGACAAAGCAATGTTGATGTTCTGTTCAGGAAAGTCTAAGATGGGATTCTAGTGAGATGCTGTAAGAGGACCTCCGAGACAAAACAACGTTACAAAATGATCGTCTTGATCTCCTAAGTTTGGCAAGCTTTGTGGTGCTTTCCCACCCACAGGTGCTGTGTATGGCTTGGCAGAAGAAATAATGGCTGTAACACCAGTGCTTTTAGCAGCATTGACTGGCAGTTTGCCTGCAGATGCATCACTAGTGTTCTCTTGAGAGTTCGGGGAGGGGGGGGCTGTTCTACAGTGTTCTACTGAGCAGAATCCAGTTGTGAAACTTTTGATGATATCACTCTGGGCTAATAAGAGGTGCTATGTCTCGATAGATCTGAAGCATGGTTGATCAGTGACTAAATTCTACTGGCATTGATTCAAATCCAGTGTTGGGAAAAGTGCAAATTAACAAGTTACAGCTGCACTTGAAAAAAGAAAAGATGATTTAATAATCTAATTCATAATCTACTGGAGTCTGCATCCTGAATACGGTTAGGTTTCGGGAACAAAATGATTGAATGATGAATTAGTGAAAGAACATGGTTTTGGTAATAACAGTAATAAGAGTCCAGGCCATTATCTTTCCCTAATCGTAACCACCTGTACGCAGCTGCTACGAGCAGATGTTGGATCACAAGATTGGATATTACAACAGAAAATTTGAATGATACATTCAGTATCAGTATCATTTTGCAACTTGCCACATTTTGTTAATTAATCTTAATATTTTGATTTAAAAAATGAAATTTCTAGGCGAGAAGGTTGATAGTTAATACCAACACACAGGTGTGGTCTTGTCTATGTTGGTAATTGAGTTATATAACGTAATGCTTTAAAATTGTGCAGGTGTGCATCGCCATATTTGACCAAGTCAAATAAATCAGGCTCACAACAGGCTCTTCATGTACAAGGTGCCACTGAGGAATCATGAACAAATCCAAACGCAGATACGGCAGCAAAAGTTTGCTTTGGAACCCATTTAACAAAGAAACGACAACTGCATCCCTTTCCTGTCTAGATCAGTATCCTGTCCCAGCTGGCTGCCATAGTGAGGACTGGGTTCAGATGTGATGAATCTCTGCATAAACCTGGGCACAGTCATGATATAAACCTAGGTCCATTCACCATAATAGTCATGTCACGTATAAATGAACATTGTAACAAAGACAAACTGTTTTCTAAACTTTTGGCACGGTTTTAAAAATCACTTCCCGTGCATCAGTAGATCCTAGATAAACACTTAAGCTCCTGACTTTAACCAACCCAACGTAAAACAACACAACAGTTGAGGACCAATTAAAACGATGAAAAGCTCCCAGAGATTTGATGCTGTCGGGCCACTCAATGAGCTTTTGATTCAAGCCAGTGACGTTAAGAATGTCGTGTGTCCTACTTGACAGCAGTCGTATGGTTAACATAAGCCTAGTTTGAGGTCAGAGCAGTGTTGAATTCATGGTTGGTTAGCAGCGCTACTGAAGGTTTTTAGCTGTCGACCCCCGTCATCACCGACTTTTACCGCATCTCTCTTTCCATGGAAATCCCCGTGGGGCCAAACTGGCTCGGTAATGTGTGAATACACACAGGCGTGCGCGCGCACACACGTATCCCAATCACTCGGACGCACACGTGGACACACACATAAAGTACAAGTGTTTTTACTGTGCTCTGCTGGTGCTGTCTTCATTCCTTGAGGTCTTCATTAGGCGGCTTGTATGGCGGCTTTCACTCCCCTCTCTATGTTTTTTTTTTGTTTTGTTTTTTTGTCTTTGCTCTCTCCCTCACTCTCTCTGTCTCTATGATCGCCATTTTGAGTTCAGCTGCTTTTATGGATGGTCTTATCACACCATTCAGCAGATACAGCAATTTCCCCCAACTAACCACCCACTATTATGGCAAGACACTCGTTACTCTTTACTCATCTGAATGGGAAAACCAGTGTATAAAAATCCATCTTTTCAGCACTGCAACCAGTGCATAGAAAAATGTGTACAGTGTGTTTTTCCCTTATACCCCTTGGCTTGGAAAAAGCTGCTTTTTGATCGGATTTTCCAAGTAGACAGCAGTCAAGCGAAAACAACATATCAGCAGTCACCCTGTGTGTTCTCGGGCAAGTTAAGAGTCAACGGTTGAACTACAAATGTGAAAGGAGAGATCACTGTAGTTTTGGCCATCACAGTATCACAGTTACAGTAGAAAGATGAGATGAGCTTCACAAATTTGATGGGAAAATTCAAGAAGGTACAGTGTAATCCTATAGGCGAAAGGACTGAATATGATTGATCAGCTTTCAGTGCTCTGTCTTTCACGTTTCTACAAGTCTCCTGACTAAATCCCTCAGTCTTTTTTTCCTCCGTGTGTTTCTGTTTCGCCTTCACTCTACAAGGTCATTCACAAAACCAGACATCTTGACATTTAACACAGCGTATTTGCTCTGTGTGTTTGCTTATTTCAGCAACCCTTAACAGAGTATTGCTCCTCCTCAGACCTTTATTCTGGGAAACAGAAAAATAATAAAACATTGTGTTCCTCCCATGAATCTGACTCCGCAGTGTTTGGCAGTGAGTTCAGGTCCCAAGTTGAATCCACCTTGCTTGATGCGGTCATCGTCCACCGCGCTGGGACGACATGACGCAGTACGTTCGCTGCCGTGTAACAGTCATGTGTCCGTTACTCGCCGAAAAACTACCATAACCTTTACGTTCTCAGTGACTCGGGGCGCAGTCTCTATCTACAGAACAGAAATGGACTGGATTGGATATAGAGAAGGTGCGTCGGTCCAAGTTGGGTCTGCTTGGCTCAGTTCGGTCCACCTCCTTCTGATGTTGCTACGGTCTACAGCAGATGGCACGCTATTTGAAAAGAGTTGGGGGCAGCTCTGGTTGAGTCTGCTCCCCTCTGTGTGGGACAGTGGAACCGGAGAGGATGTCGGGGGTTGTTGGGAGTCAGATTTAGGAACGTTTGTCAAGTGGAACGATCTAGACCACAGTGTTCCGCTGTCGGTAAGGTGGAGGCGGCAAGACGGTGCCAGATTTCAGGGAAAACTCCGACATGTATTCGGGGTTCTCAGCTACCGCCGGCCGTATGTGTCCGTTCTGCTTATAGAAGAGTTTGGCGTTGGTGGACCCACCCTGGGCGCCATCGGGGGCCGCCTGGTTGGACGATTTGGGAGGCAAGCTGTGCTGCCAGTATTCTGGATTGTCAAAGGTCACCTTGAGCTTCTTCCCAGTGGCCTTCCCTGACATCTGTCCTCCATGCTTCAGCATGCTAGCGGGATGCGCGGTTCCGTGGATCTGGTAGGCTGGCAGGCTGCCGTGCCCTATGGTGGCCGAGGAGGGCAGGCCACCTGACTGGCACACCTGGGATTGGGCAGTAGCTCCTGTTTGGCTCTGGGTGGCGGCGCTGCCACCTGGATTACCAGGTTGTCCTGCAGGTTTGATGGTGTGGTGAGCATGGAGGATGTGGGTTGGTGGGCCGTGGTGACAAGGCATGCCAGATGGAGAGGGCTGGGCCGTGGGGAGCGGGTAGTGGGGCAAGCTGGTCTGGATAGTAAGTGGGAGGTGGGAGCCTGAGGTCGTGGCTGAGATGGACGAAGGAGGGTGGGTGGGAAGGGGCAGACCATTTCTCCTCAGGGCCTCCAGGCCCAGCTCGGCGGGGCTGTGGAAGGTGTTAAGGTAGAGGGGTTCGTTGATGTATTCGTCCTCTCCTTTGGGTTGACTGTTGGGTGTGCTGTGGTAGCCTGGGTTGTCCAAGGCGTGGATCTCTCCGTTTTTGCGTCGCGAGACAAACGGGTTCTCCTCAATGGGATTCAGGTATTCTGTAGCACGGATCAGAAAAGGGAGGGAGGGTAGGAATGAGGAGAAAAAGAGAGAAAGGAGTTCATGAGAGAATAAGACAGACAAACAAAAAGAGCCACACAAATGAAATCGACAGCAGAGAAAACAAAAGAAATGGAAATTGAAAGCAGTAAGAAAGAGAGATCACTCGCTAATGAGGAGAAAAGATGGAGATGATAATGGCGATAATGGCAGCCACTCAGGACCAGACAGGCAACTTGCCAGCAGTTCTTTGGCACTGGAAACTCCATCTGCCCAGGGTGAAAATGCCAGCAAATGACCCCTCTCCACTGCTTCCAAGTGCTATAATAGTGGGGTGCGAAACCTATTGATTTTGCCCACTCTTTCGCTCCTTGACATTGCATCAGATGCATTTTGCTGCAGGCTTTGTTATATTTTGAGCTGCTCAAAAATCAAAGACGGCGGTGCGAGAGTAGAGAGGATGGACTGAATTATGATCAAAGGCAATACATGACTCTGTAGTAGTAGCTGACATACACCACTGTCGACGGAAACACGGTACGCATTTTAATCAATGGAATGAAATGAAATGAACAGGCAAAATGACAGACGGAATGCACTACAAAAGAACATATTTACTCTGCGAATGAGCGGAGAGACGACAGAACGGAGGAAAGGTACACTCGACGGGAGTTTGTAGCACATACAGGAGGCACTTGTTTTACATTTAAATTGTGTTTCAGTCTGCGCAACAGCAGAGAAGATTGTGGTGTAAACTATGGCACCGTGCTACTGGTGTTTTGTAGATGTGTCAGAAATTAATATAATGGTTGAGGTTATTTTAAAGTTTAATGCTGTCTGCACTGTGCTGTGGATAAAATACAACCTCTTAAAATGCAGGAATGTATCTTCCGTCACAAAATGTCCTGCAGGGCTCCAGAATTTCTACCTGGGGTATTTCAGCTTCTCTAAAGCAATTGTGCTGGTTACAAGTGCTCTGTGATATTAACCTGACTTGACTCTGAGGTCCACTACTAAGTGATTCCAGCAGCTACAGCATTTATTTCCCACTCCTTTATTTGTGCTTTGTGTTTCGGTACCTGAGGAGCTCTTGTCCTTCATGGGGGTCATGTATCCGTCCTCATCAGTGTCCCCTCTGGAGGTCCTCTCCCCAAGGAAGATGGTGGGGTCAGCGCTGTACCTCTGGCCCCCGCTGTCCTCTCCCCCAGCCTGGCTCAGGCTCTTTTTATGCAGGCTCCCATTGCAGCGCTGGTCCTCCAGGGCTGGAGCCGAGCCACCTGCTGCTTCCTGGTTCACACAGGCTTGGGCACCGGCCACGGAGCCCTCTGCAGGGTTTGGACCACCGTCTCGATAGCCGAACTGGTTCTGAGGTGAAGGGTGGGTTGCGGATAGAGACAAGAAAAGGTGTTATAATCAATAGGTGAAAGTGTCTTTGTATGACACCGTGCAGCTATTTGGCAAGAGGAGAGCTGGAACAACACTGTTGCAAACCAAACTAAAGATGCCTATAGTTCCATCGAAGCACAACAAACACACATGTGAATGTATGAAGTTTGAGTCGGTTTAGGCCAGCTGTACGCCACCTGCGGCAAAGGAAAAGCTGCTTGTTGAAGGCAAAATTCTCAGACAAAGTTCTGCTGGTGTAGTCATCAGCCTTAAGGGACCGTGAGGGGCAGCCAGGCAGAGCTACAATTCAAAAAACCTGGACCTCAAAAAAAGAACAAAAAACCCCACAAGAAAATACAAAACATGACATGTGAAGCAAAGGGCTTCTCGTGGTGCTGTCTTCACTTGCCGTGGGCTATTTAACCCAGGCCTACTCCTCTGCACTCTGCCAACTGCGAGCGCACTACAGCAGCAATTACAGGAAGCGGAGCAACAAAACACAGGAAGAAAAAAAAAAAAGAAAAAAGAAAAAAAAAGGAAATGTCCTGGAGTTATATCTGTCCACCTACTCCCACTGTCTTCCCTCTACTGCAATCAGCTTCCCTCTGCTCCAAACTTCTCTGTTTATCCCGTCTTCAAAGCCAGTCATTATCCGCTCCTCTTTTCAAGTATGTAGCGTGAGAGCAAATCAGTTCAGATTAGATAATCGTCTGTATTGGACTGCGTCTGCAGCGTTGCAACCTGAATAACTAACTTCCCTTGGCAAAGTCAGCCAGTCTGACGGATTTTGAATGAATTCCTTTCCCGGTCTGGGCATGTGGAGGCTTTTCACTGCATAATCAAAAGACTTTACAATTCTTGACGGGGTGTTGACCTTGAGCACGGAGGGACCCTGGATGGATTACTGTGTGTGTTTTTTTTTTCTTGGGGTGGTACGTGCATGTTTCTCAGGGAACAGGGAGCCGTCGGCAAACGGGTGGGGTGTGAGGGTAAAGGTGCGTCAGATCCGGAGCTGTAGGCCAGCGGCACATGGTGCATGCTGCAGAGCAAACAGCCGAGCCTGCATTCATTGTCTATTAGTAAACGGCTCCGGCATTTTAAGAGAGCGGCAGTTATTTGCTTATGGAGCTCTGAGTAATGAAACTGGGGCCTGGGGACTAAGCGCATAAAGAGCCCAGGTTTAAGCCACACACGCTGAGATGGAAATGATGGAGGTGGGCCATTAGCAGAGGAAAATCATCAGTGTATTGCAAATTCTTAACCACCTTGAACACTTATAGAGGACGGAGAGTTGGGCAGTTTTGAGGTTAAAGTCAAATCAGCAGGCATGAAACTTTTTCCATAAGGAGATGTGATGTGTTATTACATCAAAATCGCAGTTTTCCGCATGTGTTTTTGTGTGTCCATAAACAGTGTCCTTACTCTGTTGGAGTCGACTCGAGGCCTGGTGGTATACGACTGAGGAGCCATGTTGAAACCTCGAGGCACCAGATACTCCTCAGCATCCATCAGGTCATCAAGGTCCTCTTCATCCAGAAGGCTCTGAAAGAACTTGCTGTCATTGGGGCTGGGGAGCTTCATGCGGTCGTCTCCCTAAACAGCACACAAGCGGCATAAGTCAACATTCGATTTAGTCTGGTTGATTTTATTTAGCGGGCGCTATCAGTGCCAGAGGGGTTACGGTTGGTGTGATTATTATTAGTTATACAAAAAAAAAAATTAGCCACAAGGATCACATTTCCATTCAAGCGCTACAGCATTTATTTGTCCGGTGAGAAGCTGATCCATCGGCTGCTCTGAGGTGAACGCACCTGGATGACAAGGTATCGCTGAGGGTCACGGGCCATTCTGCAGAACTCAGCGGCCAGCTCCTTGAACTTCGGCCTGCTGTCTGCGTCAATCATCCAGCCTGGGGAAGAGGAGCAGAAAGACAGGATGTGAGGATGTGGGGTGGGGGTAGGGGGTGGGAAAAGAAGAAGAGGTTGGACAGATAAGTGGATGGATGAAGGCCTGAATGAAGGATAGTCTCTAAACTACAATGGATGAGTTTGGATATGAGTACATGTTTTCACTTTCCACAACAGACAAGGACACTTATGTAGAAATACAGTTGATTGACTGTCCACGGCTGTAGCGTCTCTTGGAAACACTGCTCTTGATATTCTATTGCATTTGCAGTTTGTCCTCCCTCAGTTTCTTTCAGCTTTTCTATTGCCTTCCAACTCTGTGCTGAATGCATGAATATAACAACAACAGCGCTGCATAACTGGGATGGCGTAGAGAAAATGAATGAATACTGTATTTATCTCAGAAATATTTGGAAAATGTTTCAAATATTTTCCAGTGGAGGACCTGTAGAAAATTCACTAGAAGAACAAACATTAATTGCATTACCAGGGACCTTTACTTTAACCTTAATTTAAGCAAAGAACACTAAATGAGCAAAAATGATGTTCACTTAAATGGAGTTCTATACATTTTCAGGGTTAAGTGCCTTGCTCAAGGGCAACTGAGATATAGTTTTTAAGGGAAGAGAAAAGTGTCTTCTTGTTTTCTTCTCTCCCCGAGGCCACGGCTGCTGTAAACACAGCAAGCCCCTGCAGGTGAAGTGAAACGCCAGGTGGTGTCTCAGCTCAGATTAGACAGTAAGCAAAGTGAGCTGCTGGATTCAGAGTCTGCATCCTGATTACATATACTCCAACAGTGATGTCTAAAGTGGGGGCCTTGGTGCCTCCAGCAGTCCTCGAGGGGTGGGTGGGGGGGTGGGGGATCTGCAAACTATAATTGTTCAGTTTCACTTTATTTTAAATGTGGCAGATGATACAGTGACAAATAGTGTTTATGCCTAAACGGTGACCCTCTGTGTTGTCACATCGTCTGTTTGTCTCTCTTCGCTCAGTTCATCTAATTTCCGCTTCAACCCCCCCCCCCCCCCCCCCCGCGCAGGCACATTACCTAAATGAGGTGCAATTAACCTGGCAATCAAACTCTATTTCATCTTTATTGGGGTGGCGGTGAGGCGGCGGGGCGCGCGGTGTGACAGTGCACCAAATCACAAACAACGGCTCTCAGTCAACATGTAATTAGAATTAACGGTGACAATTGCTGAGCTTCCTCCTGGGTTTGAATGGGGTGGCGTGCCCCCCCCCCCCACTATTTTGACTTGATTGACCCCTTTTGACCGTTTCTGATCACTGCTGTGAGGCTCAACATTACGGTTATATGGGAGATGTAACATTTGACATATAAATCAGGAATACATTGGAAACCCTAAGTATTTTTGCTGCATCCTAACTTCCGGGAATCCCTTTGACCTCAGTATTTATCATATTATTTTACATAGCACATAAAATGTATTTCCCTCCTCCTCAGGGACAGAAAGAATGAGCTGGCATAGTTATTAGGCTAAATGGCTGCAGGGCTCTCACGGATTGCTTCTGTGCTGTCAAAAGCCATTGGCAATAGTTTTTCATTTGGAAAAAAACAATTAGATATTATGACATTTTGGTTGGATTAACATTTTTGTCATGGGAATATGTTTTGATATCACGCTCCAAGCTGGATCACATCGTTCTCTTTCAGTACATTTGCCATTTCAGGCACTCTGCTGTTGTCCTCATCCAGAGCAAATCACATCCAGAGCAGGAGTAGAAAAAGTTTAAATTCACAGAGCTGCAAGCTGCCAATAATAAGAAGTATATTCACAGTGCAGATACAATGTTTGTGCAAAAAAAAAAAGAAAAGAAAGATAAAGTAATTAAAAAAGAACAAGAACTGAGAAGCAGGGAGAAAAGTCGGTGGTGAGAAGTTGATGTGAGGTCATTTTCATGAGGTTTTCAGCCAAGAGCAGAAGACAGGGAGTGACACACACGTCACCCCCACCAGAGTTGAGTTCAGACAGGGTGGAGCAATGACCAGACTGGTGTGGGGAAAGGGATAGCCAAGCAGCCGTTAGCTGGCAGAGCTCAGACGATGGATTGGCATGTGTACCTGGACTGTTTCCTGGAAATCTGGGAGGGTGGATCCCTCTGCAGCCATGTAGCCTACACCATAACCAGGGTTCTGAATCCAGCCAGGGGAAGGAGAGCAAGATGGGAGATACATGGGAGGATTCAGAGGATGGAGAGAAGGCGGGTTTTTTGGATGAGCTGTAGAGGCCGGAGGGGTAGTTGGGGTGGATCGGCTGGGAGGGGAGGTGTGGTTGTCCAGATGGAAGATGACATGAACAGGGAAGTGGGCAGAGTCCCTGGTGAGGACGGGCCTGCATGTAGCGGACCATGAACCAGCACCTCGTCACAGTTTTGTGACATGATTCTCTTTTCCTCTGTCTGGTTTTTTCATCTTTCCTCTTTCTCTTCCAGCCTTGAATCCAAACCCCTGAGCTCAAATAACACCTTACCGGATGAATATTAAAAACATGAAGCACTTTATTAAACTGCAACTCATCTGTGACAGCTGCAGCACTGTATAAACATGATTTAAAAATGAAAAAGTCAAATTATTTTTGTGTTTATTATGATTGCTGCTCTGCAATGTTGTCTTCAACACTGCTGCCACCAACTAGCACAAACTCCCAGCCATGAGGTAATCCAGCGCATTACCTATATACATTAGTTTTTGCACATTTTAAACAAATAGGATATGAGTGTAGACTTTCAATAAAGATGGACGTAGCCTCCTTGACATCACCCACAGGTTTCTGAAGAGCGGTTTTGAAGCGGGCTGCTTCATCGTTATTTAAAAATAAAAATTCACCTCCCGTACATTTGACATGAAGGAGGAAATTAGCCGTAGAGACCAAAACCATTTTTGTACCAAGATGTAAACATGTTTATTTCTGCTGCAAAGTAATTTTAGAAATGAGCAAGTCATTTTTCAGCCCTGGAGGTTGCGGCTTAGATGTAACAAGTTAGTTAAAAAGACTGGTTCTGGATTTTTTTTTTTTTAACGCTTTGGGTCGGAGTCAGGCTAGTGCCCGCCCCCCCCCCGCCCGGCCCCCCCGCTCGCCCCCCCGTCTCCAGTCTTTATGCTCAGGTAACATCGATCTTCTCACTCTCAGTTCTTAGAAAGAAAGAGAATACACGATTTCCCTCAAATATCAAACTATTCCTTTGATTCATTGTACTTAAATACGCTTTAAGAACTCATATTTTATATTTCATTTAAGCACTTATAGTTTTTGCCTGTATACTCATAACATGGCACAATATAGATACTGGCAAAAAATACTATATCTAGAATCTAAGAAAATGTAATCAACAAATAAGTTATGATGTACCTTATCATTATAGGTGACGGAAAGACTTTATTAATCCCTGGGGGGAAATTCACCAGCAGAAATGATTGTGAAATACACCACTCTGCACAGTTTTTATTAAAATAAAAGATCTGCTTCTGGGTCTTGATTCAGTGCTGCTTGCCTCCTATAAATCATATTTTGCACACACATGCTTGCTTGTGAGTACATGCATGTGGGTAACTGTGTTTGTGTGAGTGTTTGTGTGTGTGTTTTGTTTTCTCACATTTGACCATGACCATGTAGACGTCTATGGTGCAAATGGGCGGCTGGGGCAGACGCTCCCCTTTCTCCAGGATGTCTGGGATTTCTCGAGTGGGGATGCCGTCGTACGGCTTGCCTCCGAATGTCATCAGCTCCCAGATGGTCACTCCTTTGAGGATGTTGGAGGGGGGAAAAAAAACAAACAAAAAAACAAAGAATGAATGAGAGACAAGAGAGCCAGAGAACGACAAATGAATGCAAATCAAATTAATAGATATACAGGAAATGGGATTTCTTGTTTCCTCTCACAGGTACGAGCATAAGACATAATACATTTAGCACCCACCATAACTCCACACGTCACTCTGATGGGTGAACTTCCTGTAGTGGATGCATTCCAGAGCCATCCATTTGATGGGCATCTGAGGAGAGACAGATACACAGAGGAATTTTATGATGAAAGACGCAAAAAAAAAAGTCTGAAAAATCTGAACTATTATTATTATTCACAGCTGAGCTGCACAACAGGAGGCCCATCTTTTAATCTAGTGTTGGTGAGGTATTGGGAAATCGACATTGCTTTCAACCATAGTTTTGCTCTGCTCAATATAACTCAAGTACTGTGATTGATTAGCTTCAGTCTAACCTAGGGATCGTCAATAGCGAGCATGCTCTTTAAGACACTAAATGAGATCGTACTGGCCATTTGTCCCACATTATATCAATAGCCTATAGGTTGAGAAGAGGGAGTGTTTGAAATAGTAATAACAATATGTTCTTTGACATCTCTGACAAGGACAGCGGCACACATCGTCAGATCCTAACTGCCGTATGATTTCCATATTGACTGCAGAAGGGAATTCTCAGCTGTGGAGCCCAATGAAAAAGGCAATTATCTGGCCTTTTAGCGTGCGAGCGCACATATGCACACACACGTACTGTACATGCGCAGGACATTTTAAAATACAGCCCCTCCCTTGGTGCGGGAGCCTGACACATTTCCCCTGGGGGGGGGCGCGACGAAAATGCTTCAGGTTAGAAATGTGATACGATGCCTCCGCTTTCATCTTCTGTTGATTTATCTCCCACGGCACAACTATTTTTATGGCAATACATGTAGATGCGCTGACAAAAGCTCTCATTTATCGAGGCATCAGTGAACACCAACTTGGAGTCAATCACTCTTGGCTGCATCAAACTTGCCTGGCTGATGGAAATACTTCTCTTCCTCTCCTGTGCCCAGAGATAACAACTCGAAACTGGAGATGCAGTGGCTACCTCCAGGCCTCCAGCTGAGCAGATTCAGCAATGAACAAGGCAATTTAATAAAGCGAGCTGATCAGGACAATTTGCATAGTAAGTCTCGAGCGAGGGAGAAGAGAAGGGGCTTCTGATTAATGCGGTCTGGGTCCCCGAACAAAACAAACCGATCGGAAGCGTGGCTGCGTTATTTGTTTGGATGAAGTGCTTCGAAATTGCATTTTACTGAAACAAAGTTCACCAGAGTTTGCTTGACCAAATGAGTTTCACAGATCTGGAATTGTTAAAGATGTTGCTTCTGCGAGCAGAGAACTGTGTGTTCACCTCAAATGTTCATGCAGAGAAGAGACATCTACACAGAGCTGTCTACATTAGATAAACTTGTGTTTTTAGTTTATTTAAAGCTAAATCCAGCTTTCCTCCACCTTTGGTTTTTTGCATCACAGCCAACATCTAGTAAGGTGGAGCCAACTACTACAAATACTTTTGGCCCTGGAGCCTTACAGGGCTTCTATGTTTCCCTGGTCACCACCACTGACCTTTTGTTTCACTACTTTTCGGTTGCAGTACTTTACGACTGCACAGAACGTGCACACGCCTCCACTTACACCAACCTTGCCCCCGTCTGCGTTGTACTCCTTCTCGTCAGCGTCCAGCAGCCGCGCCAGGCCGAAGTCGGTGATCTTGATGTGATTGGGCGACTTCACCAGCACGTTCCGGGCGGCCAGGTCTCTGTGGACCAGCCTCCTCTCCTCCAGGTACATCATCCCCTGAGAGCGAGAGAGAGAGTGAGAGAGAGAGAGAGAGAGAGAGAAAAAAAAAGGGAAAAGAGAAGATGATCGTCGATGCGGTGAATGTCAGCACTAACATAAAATTATTGTCATAACTGTCATCATTAACCGCACACCCACGCAGAGATTTGGATACAATCTTCCATCATGATCGTGCTTCTTGTATATTACTCTGAAAGACAGCAGCTTTCACAGCATTGCGATGTCAGGAGCTCAGACTTCCCATGAGTGATGCATGCAGCAGAAATTCTAAAAACAAAACTCAACATTTCTCGACTGGGAGGTTTTTTGAGAAGTTGTCATCGTGTGTTCAGAGAATCCAGGAAACATTAGAGAGAAATTCTTGCTCGAAATCCTCCAATTCCTGCAATGACTGACACTTGGTAAACGATTGAGCATGCAGTATATTCGAACCGTGGCAGATCATTCGAGATAAAACAGGTACCAGATGTGTTGGAGCTGTGTCTTAAAGTGGGACATCTGTATCTACTTCTTGTAAAAGTGTCCGTCTCAGGTGTTATCTGCTTTTGTCATGACTGAGATTGTGTCTCTGACATCTCGTCCCCATGTCTTCGATAATTGGGGCCATTTTCAAATGGCTAGGCATCGAGAATAATGGATGTCCTTCCAAATTGTTAATGTTGGTTATGAACACGGCATGGGCAAAGCGAGGACGGGGAAAAACAACAAAGCCTTGAATGGAGAGAAAGGCAACTTTGCTTTGCAGCCTTGATTTGTTGCTCAATGGTCTGGATGCAGCAAGGACTCTTGACAGCCGCACAAAAACCTATTCCCAGCCATGAAGGCATGCTCACACACACACACACACACATACACACACACACACACACACACACACACACACACACACACACACACACACACATGAAGACTTACCTCAACCTAAAAGTAGAAAAACACATTCTAGCTCCAAGGCACACATACACAAATACACACGTCCTCTTTTCTTCATGAATTCACAGACACATGAGGCGAGCGCTCACACCCTCGTGACACGCACGCACACACGCACACACACACACACACACACACACACACACACACACACACACCCACACACACACTCCTTCTTGGCGGACAGGCAAGGCTGGGCCAATTGAAGTGTATTAGACTGGATGTTAAACAAGTGGATGCCACTTTGCAGGTGGATCAATACAAACACCTCAGTGAGGAGGGACGCAGTCACTGTACCCAGCAGACAATGACAAATTCCAACCCAGGCCCCCACGCCTCCGCTGGCGCGAGAGAATCATTGGCCATTTGAAATACTTATGGTGAAAATACTTCATATGTGTGTGTGTGTGTGTGCGGTCACATATTGAGCCACATTGTGTTGAAATGCTCGTCGTGGCGAGCTGCCCCGCGCCGCCGCCTCCTCCCAGACGAGTGTGAGGATAAATCGATAGCGCCGACGTCTGGCTCGCCGCTGGCTGAGCCCTCATCCATCATCCGCCGGCCTCGCTGAGACGGACGCGTGGTCACACTCGTACGTGCACACACACACACACACACACACACACACGCGCGCGCGCGCGCTGACAGAAACCACCTGGAGACCACCTATACGGTAAAGCAAGACACATTTCACCGAACATACCTGGTGACTCTCACAATATTTCTATCTGTCAACCTGCTTCCGTGTCTCTCAGTATCTTTCTCTTTTATCTACCAGTTCAGCACACTTCCTACTTCCTTATTCTGTGTCCCTCTTCCTGCTAATGTGTGGCATACTTCACATATATGAGCCAATGTGCTAGGACAAGGCAAAAATCCCCCCCCCCCCGATTCCTGAAAGTGTATTTAAAATAGATTACCTCTGGGGGATTCGGGCAGGCGATCAATAACAATGCTGATTACAATAAGCCCGAAGACGACCGGGCCACGCAATATTTATCCCCGATGTCGACGTTGAGAGGAATTAGGAATCAATGGCCCACACAGTCCATTAATACTCTTCGACTTAAAGTGACGGGGCAATGAGGGGAGGCCATCGCACTGACAGGGGGGAATGTACGGCAGCTCAAGGAGCCAATTAATTTTCAGCCACTCCAGGCGGTAAACACCAGCGTCCCAGCGGAGGACGTGGGGGCAGCCTTGGTTTCAGGTCGAGAGGGTCCTGCTGATTGTGCTGCCTGAACACTGCTTAAGTGTAACAATCCCCAGAGTCCTGATGTCTTTAAGAATCGGAAGTGGTGGAATAAGATAATTTGTGATTACGTAACCTGTAGATCAGACAGGAATCTGCAGAGGAAGTAATTAGACCTGCCATGTTTGGTAAACATCATTTACAATTCTGTTAGGACACGCTGACAAAGCACACACTTAGAAATATTCTTCCTTGTTATGTTGTGGAGCTTTTAGCTGTTTCACAACCATACACAATATTGCCTGTGTATGATTGACAGCTCCAGATACTCCCTGTCACCTCTGAAAGAGCTACCGCATAATGTAATGACGTAGATTCTACCTCGACACCTACTACCTTTGCAGCAATAGGAGACAGTTGAGCTGCAATGGTAGGAAGTGTTGAGATAGAATCTACGTCATGCCGTAGCCGTCCCTTTAATCGTCACTGCTTAAAGTCCCTATTTTCTGTTTTTGAAATTTTGCAAAAGCCAAACAAAATAAAGTTGCTAACTGCGAGTTGCAACCAAGCGGCAATGGAGCTGCATGACAACTGTGAGGGTGAAGTTTTAAACTTATGCATAATTGAGGGTGTACTGCTTTGAGTCACAGGTGGGTGAGTGTATGCTTGCCACATACTAGCATGCACGCAATTAGCCGGAAGTTAGGTGGAGTCGTGCACTGCCAAGATGGCGACTGGCGAAGCGGCCTGCTCCGAGCTTCAAAACCACTCTCCAAAAAACCTGTGGGTGACGTCACAGGCTACATCCATCTTTATTTAAAGTCTATGGTTGCAACCTGCCTTCATGCCCGGAAGGCAAAAAATCACTGTGCTCCCTCTCAGCCATTATTTTTCCAGTACCATTCCACTCAAAGAACATGTTCACGGCTGACCTTTAAAGAGGAGATTATATAGACTGTGCTGATGTGCAAAAGCGAAAGGGAAGTGTTTCTTCTCTTTTTAAGTTTCTTAACACTTTACTTTTTAATGCAACATTTGCATGTGGAAAAAAAAACTATATGCAAAAGGACAATATCATTTATTGACATAGCTGAAGCTACTTTTTGAAATGTATACAGGTTTGCAGACACTAACAATCCACATGAAAGGCTCAGAAGTTCATATCAGAGCCTTTAAGCACTCGCTGAATTTGCAGCGAGACAGACGTAAGCCCTTGTGAAGTGCATCTTAAAGTCTGTGACACCATGAGTCCGAACGATGAGATTGTAACATACAGCCCCGTGGAGGGTGACATGGAAAAGGAAAAGAAGGTGGCAGTGAGCATGCAGAGATTTCAAGGGCATCTGGACACATCCACTCAGAACTTGTACCTGTAAAAGTCCCAATTTTTTAAGTTACTCAAGCAAAACCTTTGCTTTTTGTATGACAGGAAAATAAAACAGTTTGAAAGGCTGTGGGAAAGGGAATTTGTCGATTTCCACTCACTGCACCTGATGAGATCATATGATGAAGCTTTAAAATAAAGCTCCAAAATTTTGTCACATAAGTAGCGACATTTAATTCTGTATGTCAATTTGGCTTTTTCACAGTGGAAAACATTTTCAGGTCAAAACCAGATGATCGGTCACTGTCAAACAGCAGCAGCACCTTCGGCCAGTTCAGTGAAGGCCTCCATTCCCAGAAGACACGTACTTGAACCCTATGCGAAAGGTCCACTGATGCATTTTTTTTTTCACAGCAGCTTTGTGAGCCCCGTGCTACATTGGTGCATTAAGGTTAAGGACCCACCAGCGCTGTTGCACATCCCAAATGACACTGGGAGAATGTTTGAATCTGTGAGAGCATGAAGTGCTGCTGCGGTATTTTGAAATATTTTTTTGTGCCAAAAACATTATACTTCATGGAACTTTTCAAGAGCTGTTTAGGCAAGACCTTTTGCAAGAGTCAGACTGTGCTTCAGGAGTCGAGTCAGCAGTCCTGTCACCCATTAGCCACTCTGTGTTGGTCTGTGTATATGCTTCAGACGGGTGACACTGACAAAAAAATACTGTTTTTGCAACTGATTAAACTATTAGTGCAACCATTTATCACACAGAGCACCGCTTGTTTGTGTTTGCACGAAACAAAAAGTAGTTTATCCTCCTCTGAGCAAACTGGCTGCTAGGCAGGATGAAATCTCATTTTCAACATTGCTGCCGAGTCCTGAAGTGCCTACAGGGGCTAAAAGGTTTCGAAAGCACCCAACAGACTGGGGTCATGGCTGGTCCATGACCCATTAGCACCTTCTCTCTAGCATGACGCAAAGAAGACTAAAGATCTGAGTCTTCAGTAATGGAGGAGAACAAGAGGATGAAGCCAGGCGTGAAAAGAGGAGCGGGGTAGTGTGGAACTGCAGAGAGCAAACACCTCAGCGGGGGAGAAAGATGCTGTGGAATAAAAGATGCTGAGTATAAAGAATAGCTGCTGGACGGTAAGTGGAGGAAGAGGACGACGGACATGATGGGTTAGTACAGCAGGTAATAAATTCAGTGCAGGTCTTCAGCAGATACAGTATTTGGCTATTACTAACACGCTAACATGAAATGGTTGCTGATTTTATTAAGTATGACTTCTTCAAATTTGTTGCCAAGCAACATGCTCTTTCAGGAAGCAGTGGGATCCAACAGAGGTGAGGTAGTTTTAATGATAAAACTCTTGGGTACAAACGTTTGCACATGAGCAACACTTTATTTGGGAATTCATGTCAAGAAAAGCATAAAAGCTAAATAGGCAGGGTGCTCAGTTCCAGGAACCACAAGGTAAGGGGTGCCTGTTTCCTGAGGGAACGATAAGAGCGCCACGTGTGGTGAAACCCCCAGCCCCCCGTCTCCTA